ACCCAGGGGGAGGAGGCCACACCCAGGGGGAAGGAGGAGGAGGCCACACCCAGGGGGAGGAGGAGGAGGCCACACCCAGGGGGAGGAGGCCACACCCAGGGGGAAGGAGGAGGAGGCCACACCCAGGGGGAGGAGGAGGCCACACCCAGGGGAAGGAGGAGGCCACACCCAGAAGCACAGAAGCCACAACCAGGCTCCAGTGTCACACTTGCACAGACAGACAGAGACAGACCATGGAGTTGTGGCAACGTTCAGTATTTAGATACTTGTGTCTAGATTCCGTTCCAGCAGACAGATCATACGGGGAAATAGATGCAAGTCAGACTGGGATAATCAGACTGATTGATAATCAGGTGTGGGAATCTCACTGGGAGCTGCGTGTGAGACTGGAGTGGTCATGCTGCTGGGAATACAGCCGCCTGAAGTTTATGCACATTTACTCAAGCAAAAGACAGAAGGCTGTCACAGGTTGGGGGTCTGGGACAATCCGTACTCAGTCCAAAATAATACTCAATAAATAAGGAGTTTGTCCAGTGTTTCCAGTCCAGTCCCTGGGGACCTCCCAGCACACCAGTACCAGGTGTTTTCATTGTTTGGTTCAGGTGTGTGTGTGTGTGTGGGGGGGGTAAGTGTGGTAAGTGTGGCCTAGTCAGTAAGTACCAGGTCACTGGCATTACCTGAAGCTTGCCCCCCCCCCCCCCCCCAACTGTGCACTCACCACTCATCTGTGAAGTCCAGCTTGATGGTGCTGGTGGTCGTTCCCTCAGTGCTGTAGTGCAGACTCAGGACGGGCTCTGCTGCTCCGGATCGCACACCAGCCGAACTAGAACTGGAACCACTGCCGGTTCCGGGTTCTGTGCCTCCTTAGATGAGCACAGAGAGGGACGGCGCAGAGCTTAAAAAGGCTGCGGTACACGCACACGGAACACACGTCCCCTCGACAAGTCGGAGGGAACCTGAAGTATACAGATTACAACCCCCAGTCCTGACAGATGCACACACAGCATTTTGTGAACTTAAGAGCTAAAGGCTGCACTGTGTGCGAGACGCTCAGCGTTACACCAGGACCTGCCCCCCGCACACTCCCCATCTAAGCAGTAATGGCTTCTCCAGGGGGGCACTCAAAATGGCATCGCACACGTCCTAGCGTGGCTGTGACACCCATGCAGAGGGGACACGCAGGCGCGAGCCATGCATGGAGGCAACATGCTGAGGACACTGCGCTGGAGACACTGCCTGCCAGAGCCCAACACCGACAGGGAGACGTGTTCAGGCACTACCCAACGTAAAGGCTCCTGCCAGGTGAATCCTGTGTCACCGAGACCGACGCCAGTGACCAGCTACTGCAAGGGACACAGAGCCCTGACTTTGTATGTCCCCAGTCTAACACACAGATTCCCACAGTCTTTGTCAGGACAAATGACACAAATGAGAAAAGGGTGAGAGTTCTGAGGAAGAAAGAGATGGACAACTAAGAAAGCACAATGAAAGCTTTGGGGGGGGGGGGCGGTCACTGGCAGTGGAACCACAGCTGCATCTTGATGGTAACAGACTAGAGGTGCAGTAGAAGACAGCCCACACATGGGGCAGCACGAGTCCCCTGAGCACTGAGCACCAGTCCGAGTACAGGGCACTGGAACACACGGCTGGGCTGCCGATCGCCATGGAGAAAATGTTTCTCCACAGATGGAAAGAATGTCACTGTCGAGACGGGCCCCGAGACTGGAAGGACTTGGGAGAGGGGGGGGGGCTGTCTCTCACCACAGGCAAAAAAGTGCAGCTGACGGGAGCCGTATTAAGCGGACGAACACCGCATGCTGAAACTGGGGGCAGAATAACACAAAGCGGTTCAGAAAGGGGAGGGGCCAAGTCGACATGGGGGTCAGGTGGAGGGGCAGAGAGAGAAGACGACACGCAGATGAATGAGGGGGGGGGGGGGAGAGGGAGGAGAGGGAGACGCACCCTGCTGCTCGTCCAAGGTCATCGATCCGAGCTGTTTGTTTACCATGGACGAGGGAGAATCTGGAACACAAAATCAAACTTTGACCAAAACATCCAAGGAATAGCATGTGTGCAGAACATCAAACAGACGGAGGGGAAGAACCTCTTTGGAAGGGACCGGACCGCCTAGAACAGGGGTGTCAAACTCCAGTCCTGGGGGGCCGAAGCCCAGCACAGTTTTTGGTGCACCCTCCTTTAACACACCTGATTCACCTCCTTGTGCTAATTACCACACAGCTCTTGAGCGGAATCATTTGTGGTGGAACAGGGAAAGAACTAAGCTACACTGGGCTCCGACCCCCCAGGAATGGAGCTTGACACCCCCTGGTCTAGAACCATCTACATGATGCTAAGCGTCTGTCAGGAAGGTGAACTGGGGATCCAGTCACCGGCACGGGCGATTACCGGGACTGGTGAACCATCCAAAAAGCCAGCACCATTAAACCCTCTCGCAAACGCCTGGAGCCACATTCCAGTGTGGAAAACAGGACACTGACCAAAGACCGATTCTCCAGTTTCTGGGCCGATTCTCCCTAAAACTGCAGTGCCCTTTAACGCACCTAATTACAACCAAAAATAAAAGCAGCACCTCCAGGCTCTCTTCAGATTAAGAAGTACCTCAGTGCTATGAACTGCACGTCATGAGTCGAGTTTTAAAACGGGCATCTTCATAGACGGCGGCACAATGGAGAGGCTTAAGAAGGACCCCGCAGTATGACCGGGGACAGTGGCACTCTTGGTCTGAGTGGCAGTGCTGGAGTCCCACAACAGATGGCGCCATTACTGTACATTCAAGAGCTTTCTGGCAAGGATCTCTCAGTCTTATGAGACATCAAAGAGCATTAAGGAGCGCTGTTTCAGCATTAAGTGGCATAAGCCATGGACATATTTTTGGATGCATGTTCAGGGGTAGGGGGGCACCTTTTTGTGCTGGGGGGAAGGGGATCCAAAAGCAGCAAAAGTAGGGAACAGAAAGAGCTAAGGAGAGGAGACTGTGTAAACCAGCGCAGTGTTGAGTTAAAAGCCTGCCACTGCAGTCACAGCCGTTGGTGCGAGTGAGGGGGGGGGGGCAGTCACACCACAGAAGCAGTGCTCTAGCACACCATGGGTGATCTGGAGGGGGGTTATACAAAAATCAAGTGTAGCCAAGCATTAGAGCAGAATTCCCCAATTCCGGTCCTGGGGGGGCCAGTCTGTGACGCAGTTTGCACACCTTATTCAGCTCAGCAGCAATTCGGCAGGTTTAGTAGGTTTGTCTGCAAACTGAGCCACGGACTGGGCCCCCCAGGACCGGAAACGGGGGACCCTGCATTAGAGGATGCGTCTGGTTTGAAAAATAGCACAAAATGTTGATGGTTGGAGACCTGCTGTGGGGGGCACTGAGGCCCCCGAGGCCCCCGAGGCCCTGCGGGCAGGGCTGGGGCCCTCAGCGGGTGGGTGGGTGGTCGTGCGCTCCTGCGCTCTCGGGGGCCCCGGCATCAGAAGCAGCCGCTGCAAGCGTCTGCAAACTACACTTACCGGCACGCCGTGACGGGCAGGCTCTGACAGGGCAAAGAAAGGGAAAGAAATACAGAGGAATGAATGGTGGGGGGGCGTGGGGGGGTGGGGGGGGCGGCGCAGAAGGAAGGAAACAGGCAATGGTAGAGCGAAAGAGGGGGGAGAGAAACATGAGGCTGGGGTGAATGGGCCCTGAGTGACTATGGGGGGGAGGGCAGAGCCCGGGGGGGCGGGCAGGCCCCGGGGGGGGGGGCGGGCAGAGCCCGGGGGGGGCGGGAGAGCAGGTCCAGGCTCACATTGGGCCTCCGGTCTCAGCAGAGAGCACTCAGGCTGAGGCCCCCAGAGATAAACAAGACTGCCTGCCTGCAACAACTACAGTGATGAATCGACTCCATATAAATAGCACTAAATCAAAATGAGCAGCCATTTATACAGGAAGTATGAAGCAGTTCACTTTATAAGGTATAAAAAAGCACAATGTCAGTCATCCTGCCATATTATGTTTTAGTTGGGAACCATTACAGGCATCCCCCAATCTTACCAGACTGTAATGGCTGCGTCGTCTGCACAGAGTCTGTTGGGGGGGTAGAGTCCGATGTGGGGGCGGGGGCAGGGGTAGGGGCAGGGGCGGGACAGCGGGCGGCGGCCAGACTCTTCTGTTCCACATCAGGGGAAGACAGCAGTGAGGACGAAGGCGGGCTCTCCAGGGATGAGGAGGTAGAAGGGGGCGGGGCAGTGACTGTGGAGGAGGAGCTGGAGGACGAAGAGGCAGACTTGGGGAGAGGCTCGGCGGGGGTCTCCACCTCCATGGAGGCCTCGGGGGGAGCAGGGCCTTCCTGGGCGGTTTCTGGGGCAGATGCGGACCCTTCAGGCTGGGCTCTGGTGCCTGCGGCAAGCAGAACAAAATCGGCCCTTTTTCACTCATTGTCAGTATGAGCGACTCGAGAGTAACTCAAAATTCCCTCTCAAGACAGACAGCCGGTTAGCCTGCGGCTAACGGGGGAGCGGGTTACCCCTGGGCCGGGGCTGGGGCTGGGGCTGGGCCTGGGGCTGACTGCGCCCCCTGCTGCTCTGTGCTTCACTGGCCTCCTCGAACCACCGCGACAGCATGTCTGACATCCTCTGCATCAGAGACACGTTGGGGCTCTGTTCACCTGCATGTGGGGAAGAGACCAACGCTAAGCCCTCTATCCACACAAGGCCACTGAATCCCAAATCAGTCCTGCCTACCCGCCGCCGTGAGGTAGCTCTTCATGTGGGGATTGGCACTACACTGAGCAAGAGCGATGCTAGGAATATTAGCATTAGAGAGATAAAGATAGTACAGTAAAGGCTTACAATTTGTCTGTACTCCCTGGGATTAGAACCCAAAACCTTTGCATTGTTAGCATCACATGACGGATCTGCTAGGAGTGTGTTGTGGTTCTGCTGAGGTTGGCATGTCGCAAGTTCAGCTGCCTTGATAATGTGTGGCAGCTGTGTCTGTGCGGCCAGGCAGCTCCCTACCGTCTCGCTCCCGCTCGCTCTCGGGTCGAGCTCGGGGGCCCGTGTCGGACCAGTCGCCCCGCAGCCGGAGGCGTTTCACCGGGGGCTGACGCAGCTGGGAGGGCGATAAATAACCCGTCACTCTGTGACAAGGGCAGCAGCTGGTCAAAAATAGCCCTGCTGGGCACAATATGACCATCACTGACAGCCGCTACCATGTTAATACACCTTAGAACAGGGCAGCTTGTGGGAGAAATGCAGTGGAAAAACAAGATCTCAGCTCAGCGTGGGAGGCAATGTGTCTGGTCAGTCACCCAGTTATCCAGCTCCCCACTGGTCACTTCTCTGGCTTTACACTGTAATTGCCAGCCAGGATAAACCCCACCCACTGAGCCCCTCACAGCCTGGTTTCTCCGGTCTTGACAGAGCCATGTGGTTTCAGTTCTAGAGTTAAGCCATTCCCAAAAGTACCATGTGAGCAGAATCACAGCCGATAACATGGAGCAGGTGAACCTACAGCTGGCCTAAGGCCACCAGAGCTGGGCTATTCCTGTCAGTGCAGGAACAGTGCGTGCAGAACTCGGGGGATGGGGCTGGGGGGGGGTGCCCATATTTGGAAAGGCATTCCAGCTGAATCACTGCAGGTGCAGCTGAACACACGGTGTCTGGAGGGGGTGTCCCTAATCTTCATACTTAGTGCCCCCCCCCCCCAACCACCCCCACAAGCAGAAAGTGTTGATGGGTCGTCTTCGAAAGAAAAGGAAGTGGCCACTGAACAAACAACCAGGCAAACGTCAAAATCAGAGCCAAGCCAGAGGTAGGGGAGTGCCGGTGCATCTGCTGAAACGCACCAATCAAGCCAGCAGGTGGGCGGGGCTCCAGAAGCACATCACTACAGACAGAGCCTTGTGTCACTTCCTGTTCCCTCCTCTCTAGCCACTGCATTACCAAATACCCAAATTGTTTTGCATGCACCTCCAAATTCCTGCCATAATAGTGCTCTGCTTTCCTGTGATTTTCTGTAGTAGTGCACCGAGGGGAAGGGGGGGGGGGGGGGGAAGAGGCATTGAAACTTGCCAGAGCTCATTGTCAGAAAACAAGAGATCAAGCTGCTAATCGTATTTAATAATGACTCATAAACATGTTGCACTCTGTTCTAAAATTTACCCCCAATCCTGTAAAACACATTATGGATAAAAATCTGGAGCCATTTATCATGACCCCCCCCCCCCCCACCCCACCCAACACCCTCCATTGTTTTGGGGAAACGGTGCAGCTTGACCACATACAAAAGCACATGTGAAGTTCATCCTGCATCTCCCAGGCTTCTTTATTTAGCATAAAGGTCCCAGTTCCTGTCCTGCAGTGCGAATGCAACATGCCAGTAACCAGGGACTGAAAAAGTTCACGGTTCAGGCCACCCAGGAACTCGGAACCTGGGTCCTCCAGGTGCAGATGATTCAGGACAGCAAACAGAAACAGCAGCTCATGACTGTGACAATGTCTGAGGACATGCCTTCCAAAACGCATGACTTTCTAAAGTTGTGTGCAAATACAGCGGTGTTCTAAAACTAAAGCCTCAGGCTACGGGAGAATTAAACCCATTTCCTGTCAGGTTCTGAAATTCCAAAGTGCTTGACTGCACCTTTAGGGTTTTTCCGGAGTCACGCCATCTCACTGTAGACAATGGTAAAGGCACTTCCATGCGAGCTCAGATCATTCAGGGTTCCATCCACAAAAATGTGCAGCACTGCAGCAGAAGGAAGTTCAGAGAAAAGCCACAAGACGAAGGGACCGAGACTCGGCGATGGATCAGATGACAGACGCAGCTCACCTCCTCCCTTCTCTCCTCGGACGGCCCCTTCAGCTCTCGCGCCTGGTCGTCCTTCGGGTTGAACAGGTAGATGTAGTCTGAGGAGTAGCTGACCAGGATCTCCTCCCCGTCGCCGCTGTAGCACAGCGACGTCACACGGCAGGACTTGCTGGAGAGGTGCGCCGGCACGAAGCGCACGCACATCCCCGTGGTGCCACGGCCCATGTAGTTCCCTGGCGGAACCGGAATCCAAAGAACCAACCAGAATTTCACAGGAACACGCAAAACTCCACGGCAGATGAGGGCGGCGTCCTTGCGGAGGCTGCAGCACTTACCTGTGGCCCGGGTACCCAGCATCCTCCGGTCGTAGATGCGGACAGAGCTGTCGGAGCATCCCACGGCCAGGTAATACGGGACCAGTGGGCTGATGGAGATCGAGGTCGCGGCACGCCGGCAATTAATGAGGATGTCCTGCGTGGAGGAAATCGGACATGTGCGGCGACAACGTCAGAGGCGATTCTTCATCCGAGTCTTATGGACCTACATGGTTAACAGGTTCTAACAGACTGCTTCAGAGAGTGAACTGAAGCAGAAAACTCAGTGCACCACATCCCAGGCTTGAAATGGGAAAAGCACTATCAACATATCGAAACGGCGGAATCACATCTGGGCAGGAGGCCAGAAAACCCATACACCACTTTTCATTTGCACAGAGCAGCTCAGCTGGGACCCATTTTAACTGGAGAAGCCAGGTTTGTCAGGAAGGCGGGGCTTAACTGAAACGCGCAGATTCACATGACATTGAAAGATGTGCAAGCATGCGATCAGCCGGCACCTGGAGACGTCTCCTAACCACACCCCAAACTCCACCCTCATTTTACACGGCGAATCCACTGGTACCTTGTGGAAATGCCACCGTCAGAATCCCTTTAATTCGAGCATAATAATGTACAGTGAACGTTACCATTTTTCATGTTAGTAATGTACTACTCTGCTAATTTATCAATTACCATATGTAAATACAGGAAAACCACGCAAATGTGGGGATTGAGGATGGGTTACTATTAAGGATGGTTTTGGCCATATGGGGCGCATTCCCCAGAACAGCTTACTAGAACTGGTACAAAAAATGCTTTTTGCAGATGAAACTGATGGTGCAGATAATACAAGACTTCAAAAGAGCAAACAGGAAGGTTCTTGGAAGAAACTGCAAACGGCGGCAGCTCTTTCTAAGTACAGCACTGATGAAAATGTGCTTACAACCTTCAAGGAACTCGTGCAATGGAGCAGGCGACAAACGAGAATATCCGACTGCGGCATAACCCACACTGGGATACATTTCCCAGAAGCATAACTGCTAAGTGAATGGGTACAACTACGCAAGTCACTAACGGGAGCTTGTGGGAAAGGTAACCCTGCACGGCCATCTTGTGAAGCTGCTTAATAAAGTAATTCAGGACATTTCCTGGCACTCATATGCATCTGTGCTTTCATCTGTGGCTCATTGCTCGTGGCTCCGAACTGCAGCCACCAGAGGCGGGTCTCTAGGAAGCACTCAACCAATCACTGTGACCGCTGTATCGTGATGGGTGAGTGACAGCTCGCATTTCAAAGCTTATTTCATATTATGTGCGGCATCATTGAAATAAATGAATATATAAATAAGACCCAAAAATAATTAAGACGGAAAGAAAAAAAAAATCTTAAATTTATCGCCACATTTTACAATAAATTAATGTGTGCATCAATAAATATAATAATGTCTGAATAATCTCTCCATAATCTCCCACACTTACATCTTTGCAGTCCTCTTTTGTGCAGCTGGTCTTCATTCGGACGTCGAACCACCGCACGGTACCGTCCTCGCCACATGACAGGAAGGTGTAGGGGTCGTTCGGGACAGTCATGATCTACCGATAAAGAAACCAGCTTCCATGACTCACCCTACAGGCATCTACGGCTACCGCTGCTATAAAGAGCCCAGCTTAAGATGAATTAAACATGGCCAAAGCAAACACTCCATTACCATGAAGTGACATCTGCGCCTGGACCCTTCAGGTTGAGCGAAGCGCTCGCATACTTCATGGATACGGTAGATGGGATTACCTCGTAGGCCGTGCCATAGTGACAGGTGAACTGGCACTGTCTGTTGAGCTCGGCGCTCTTCTCTGTGTTGGTGTAAAAGATGACGCCGTCGCCGGAGCAGGACACGATCTGCTGGTCGTTGGTTTGCGGTATGAACTTCGCGCTGAAGATATTGGCACGGTGCCCTGAGTTAATGGTAGTCTTGACCTGATGAGGGAGCAGCTGTTTGAGGTCTCATAACCAGTGACTTTCCTCACCAAGGCTATTGCCAGATAAGTTTTTTTTTTTTTTTTTTTAACTATATATCAAAGCATCAGCAAATGACTGATATTTGGGTTTGGTCACAACCACCAGAATGCAACCAATGGCATTAAGTCCGTTTGGGGAACTTTCAAGTCATTTCTGCCTTTGCAAATCTTTTAAATCTTCCATTTACTTATTACTGCAGTGGTTAGAAGCCCCTCAAGGAAACAGTGTTGTCCCACAGCCGTTTCACTTGTTCTGCTCCATAATGTTTCGGTTGTATATAACGGTCAGAGGAGGTATAGCTTTAAGAGATGCACGTATCATCAGGGTAAGTGATGTTGGCAGAATATAATTAGCAGTGATGAAGGTGAGGACCACAGGGGAAAATCGGGTGGCTGTGAGCACAGGAACTTTCCAGAATGGAAGCATCACACTCGGAGAGCCCAGATGTGGGAAATGCAGTTTGAGAGAGAGACTGAGCTCATTCTACCTTCCTGTTGTATGGGTTAGTGATGACCAGGTTGGTGTCATCGGATCCTGAGAGGATGTACTCGCCGGTGTCATTCCAGCAGATCGTGTTCACCTGAGCAAGAAAGTAGAGCAAGAAAAATGAAAAACCGCACCACAGGCAGATGGGCAACAAGTACAGCAAGGCTGGTGCCGTATGTACAATAAAGCCTCGGCCGCAGATCCCAAACCAGCTCTGCAGTCAAAGCCTCCATCGAATGGTGACGCTTCATGCATGCAGAGGACGACGTAACGCACCCAAAATCCCAAGTCAGAAACCTTCTGTTCCGTTTCCCTAACAGCTCAAAGTACCTGACAAGCCAGCTGCTGGAGTTTCCGCATCTCATCTGGCTGATGTTCCACTCTGAGGGAAGGCCCAGGGATGTAGGAACCAAAGAGCCCCTTTGCCAAATCCTGTCATTTGCTCTTACAGCGCCTCTAAATTGCACCTCTTGTACAATCGATCTTTCATCCCGGGGGAGAGATGAGACGACATTGTTGTTCATCAGACTCCTGAGCTAATGAATACTGCATTTCACTAGTGATCAACGCTGAACGGACTGGAACAAGGAGCCAACCCTGAAAGTAACTGATATGTCATCCAGACCACGGCCTACCTGAGACAGTGACGCAGGAGGCCCCGGAGCTGCCAGCAGGGCTCAGGTGACTGGGCCACCCTGCTTAGAGGCAGCCAGTGTGAGATGTTCCCCATCAAACTGGCAGCTCTGGCTTCGCAGGACTTATACATGTTGAGGTGAACACCTCTGCAGGTCACCTTCTAAAGAGCATGGGTCTTGTGTTCAGAAAGATCATAGGTCAGGCTGACTCATCTTTTTCAAAGCAAGATGGGAAGATCTGCCAAAGGGAGCTTTACTGGACAGTGAAGAACAGACTGACTCAGTGGATCTTAAGGCTGGGACAAGACATTCCAGCCCAGAGGTCCAAGTACACTGCGAGCAGTGTCACATGCACCCTAGATGGTAGGCAGACACCCAAGGCAAGCTGATGCCATTCTCAGTTCACTTTCAGAAGCTGTCTGTCCAATCATAAAGCCAGTATATAATTTGAAAGAGGTGAGGGGGACAATCAATGATGTCATATCTCCATCAATGATGTCATATCTCCATCAATGATGTCATATCTCCATCAATGATGTCATATCTCCTTGTGTGCCAAAAATAACTAGCTTGTAAAGCATCAGGTGACAAAAATAGAGGCAGTACACTGTGTAGTGACCAGCTAAACCCCCTGATCACACAGGATAGGAGATAGGCTGCTCTGACAACTCAGAACATCTTTCCAGGAACAGAGAGAGTTCTGAGAGCAGTCGGGACCTGGGAAGACTGGGTCTGTGTCACTGACAGATGGAAGGACGACAACAACCATACAGGAGGACTAGGCGAGCTCTTAAAAACAATATTTTAATTTTAAAATACTGGGAGAAACATTAATTTAGGCTTCTCAAAGCGTGCAAATGTGATAGGTCATGAGCTGAGCTGGGGGGTGGGGGGGGACAACACAACGTTGAACTTCCAAACTTAGAAGAACAGAGAACACAGTATCACTGCAACGGGTAATGGGCAATAATAGCCATAATCTCTCTGAATTAGGCTAGCTGGCTGCTGAAACTGAAAGCAAAATCATAAATCCTTCTGCCGTCTTGCTTGGTGTGTAGCCTACGTTACCTTTCACGACAGACGATAATCGCTCGTTACTCACCGTCAGATACTGACACTGGGATACTTCTCTGATATCCGATTATATCGTCATACCACCCAGCCTTAATACACGTACCAGTCACTGAGCCCCTGCACTGCGAGGAACCTTCACTGACATGACCGTTCACTCAGCTAGCCGGCATAAGACACGCTGCCTAAATCTTCAAAATCTTTTTTTTTTTTTGTGATTATATTTTTATTGTCATTTCATCAATTTGTCAGAAGGCATATACAGGACAGAAAATCTTTAAAATCTTAAGTACCAAAAGCAGAATGAATCATAGTATAATCAGTAGAAATAAAGCCTGGAGCATAGATGACAGGCAGATTAGCGGGTTAAGGAACAGAAAGCTGAATGAGGAGATATGTGCAAAGACAGATCACCCATAAGGCTTCAAGCCATTGGAACAGCGAGAAATGCAGGACAGAGGAGTTTATTTAGCAAAATAAGCCTGCAATCTTAGCACCTTCCATGGTGAGGTGATTGATAAAGGTGGACAGGAGCTGACAGCAGCATGGCCCGGCCCCCGGGTACTCACGCCCGGCCCCCGGGTACTCACGCCCGGCCCCCGGGTACTCACGCCCGGCCCCCGGGTACTCACACAGCCATCGTGCACAGTCAGCGTGGCCTCCAGTTTGAGCCTCTGGACAAACTCCCTTCTTCCTGAAACAGAAGGCAGACAGGTTTCCAGCATTGAGCTGATCTTTGTACATATTCACATGCAGACAGAGAGAACCATAATTTAAAACGCTAATCATGCACAACAGCAACAGATCAGTCAGCTGACAGGCAATGATCTTCGGGGAGCTGCTGCAGGGGCCAGAACATGGATGCTAATACCTGGGCCTGCACATGGATGCCAATACCTGGGCCTGCACATGGATGCCAATACCTGGGCCTGCACATGGATGCCAATACCTGGGCCTGCACAT